TATTGACCGTGGAAGAATAAAATTTAATTAAGTAATAAATTGAAATAGTTTATATAGAAAAGATAGTTTAAGGTGCCAGCACTAATGTCATTGCTAGGTAATTGGAGGAGCTCCTTTTAAATATCCAATGCGCTCTGAATTGAAAATATTTAATAAATATTGTTAAAGAGATGGTTAGCGATTTATTTGTCCTTAGCAATTCAGTGTATAACAATTATAATATTTTTTTCGAGTTAGAGTATGTAATCTGCTGGTAACAGAAACAATGGAACTTGTTTTAGAGTTAGTAATTTTATTTTTTTAACGGGAATATACAGCAACGCCTGTCGCCTATAAAGAGGCAGTAATTCTAGTCTCCCATGATGTGGACAGTAAAATAGACCGTATGCATACCAGAGACGCGTAAGTGGCGCCAAGGTTTGAGTGATTATATGCAACATTTTATTACAGCTGGAAAACCATTTTCAACTCCACGAACAACAACGACTCCTACCTCAAACTGCGGAGCATAATCAGTACACGTCGTTCCCACCAAGGACTCATAGATCCCCAGGCACGGTGAGGGCCAGAGCCGGCGACAGAGGTCAATATTCGCAAGTATTTGAACGGGCGCCTGCGAGCCCTAGAGCAGCGACGCTTGGTCGTGTGAAGCGCAGTGCATTGGCTGATGGTAAATGTTTTTTTGTGAGCTTCGTTTTCGTAGCAGGATGAAAATAGTTATTTGTTATGCAAGGCTGCAAAGTTGTTGTTTGACGCGAGTGCTTGTATTGAAATAGAATCCTGAGCGTAGCGAGGGTTTCAAGACACGAGCCGCAAAACAACTTTGCTGCCGAGCGAAACGCATTATTTTTCACCTCACTATAGCGAGGAAAATGGTAGATGAAAGAAAAACAGTTGAACTATAACAATATAATTTAATAAACAAAATTAGTTACCGTTGTCAATTTAATGTCAACAATAATAAGAATCAGTACAGAGTACTAAAAAAACACCGATCAAAAGTACGTGAAATTACATAAAATTGTCAAGTTTTATTGAAATCGGTTACCGGAAAGTGCGTAAACCCGGATTCATGCCCTAGCACACTATTTGGGACTTGACACAGGAGATAATAAAAATCGATTCTCACTACTCAAAGTATATTGAGAGAGAAAAACGCCTTGAATCGGAGAATAGCAAATTCTACCGTTAAAATAATTGCTCCTTATAATAAAATTTAGGTGCTATTTATAAAAATGAAATTTCATGACTGAACAGCCACCCTTAGAGGTGGATGATTTTCTTTAAAATTAAATGGGACCACTATTGAGTTACCCTCTTTCCTTTTTTTGAAGTCGGTAAAAAATATACCACGAATTTATATTACATAAATAATGTATGAGATATCGCGTAGTTTAACGTGTCATTATGTTCTTTTTTCATCGAAAGAAAGTGTTAGGTGCATCACAGTTCATCATTAAGTTCGAATTTCAAAAACCTTTTCCACACTACTATGGAAAAAGAGCTTGCGCTCATATTTCTAATGAGAAAGAAAGCTTTTCCGAGCTAGAGAGGTGAAAAATGCGTTTTTTTTCTGTATTTCGAGCTGGTGCTATATTATTTTTCAAGGGGATCAAGTCAGGTCTTGTTGCTGGTTTTTTAATCACTTTTTCGTGTGTCATTTTTCAAAGGGATCAGATCGTGTTACCGGTTTTTTAATCACTTTTTCAACCTGCTATAAACCTGCAAAATCGATTGAAATACAAAATTATTTTAAAATACGTCCAACAATTGTCATGTACGTATAATACAGAACACTAATACTTATTATAGACCAACATTTTTTGATATGTTCTAACATTCGCTGCGTTAGTTGGCTTGACTGCTATGCATTTTGGTGTTTAGTATTGTACAGCACATCATCTGAGACATAGACTGTACGCATTTCATTCGTATTCATAATCAATAATGCTTAGTAATAAGTAGTGTTGAGTCATGGAAAAATTTCCATTTAGAAAAAAATATATTTTCCAAAAATATATATTTTTCTTAATATTTTTCCACTTTTGACAGTGACACCTGTCAAAAGTTGAACTTTTTATGAAAATAAGTCGAGCAGGGCTTAGAAAATCACATTTAACATAGTTTATACAAATTTATTTTATAATTCATGCTAAATAAAACTTTAAAAGACATACGTATTACATAACAATTTTTTCTGAAAAATTTCCGCAATTTGAATCTTTTCCGAAAATTACCCAACACTAGTCACAAGTAATCATAGCATGTTTCGTCAGCAAATTCTTTTTGTATCAATAGAGCCTAATACGTCATCAGCGCTCCAAACGCAGACATTAGATCGCAAGAAGACAGCTGCTACCAAATGCCTGGCTACTGTTCACGGACCTGGGCCGGACAGGGGGAGAGGGACGATACAAAGGCCAAGAGGGCCTGTCATTGACCAGTTGATTGCTGAAGAGTGTGGGGAAGTACCGTTCAACAGGAGTCTGAATGACCTTGACGACTCTGAGGACACTGACGAAACGTAAGTAATTAATACAAAGTTTCTACGCATTTCCTTTTTTTTCGAAGGTTAGCTCGGATAGACACAGTTATTGTTTCTGTCTTTCACTTTTCAGCATTATTATTTCCGTCTTATGATAGGGTCTGCTTTTCTTGTATTTACCCTCCACTTTGCTCGATCTTCCTTTTCTACAAAGTTATTATTGCTACAAAACGCATTTATTTTTAGTGGATAGAAAATTACTTCAATTTTTTCCATTGTCCCCTTATCTAACGACCGTAACGGATAATTCAATTGGAAATGTTATTTCACAATTTTGAATATTACACAACAACATTTAGTCCAAATTCTTGGTGCCACGATTTCGTTTAACTAAGATAAACGATTATTTTCGATTAAGTCACATTACAAAATTGAAGAGTATGTGTTAGATGAAGATGTGTGGAAAGACATCATGAGTCTAGATTCCATACAATTATGATTCAAAGTATATTCCATAGCATTTAAGTTTATTTGAAAAGTACAATCCCTAAAGTTTCGTTCTTCTCAGGGAGGTCAGCGTAGTGAACGAGCAGTAGCTTAACAATAACGTTTTCAAGTGTAAAAATTTTACCTATGGAAAAAACGATTATTTGACTTTAACTTTGATTTTATATTTTTTCAAACCTTCAAATCTAATACATATCTTGTTCTCTACAGTATATGTCCCCACGACACACCGTCACGAGTGCCTTTGATATGGAAGGAAGAGAATTCTAAAGTGAAAAATTGCGCAGGATCGAGCAACAGAGCTTCCACTAGCGTTCAGCATCATATCAACGGTGGCATCGAACACTGCCACGTCCCGGTTGGAATAGTACTATTTCTACTGTTAGCATACATTTGTATCGGTGCCGCAATCTTTTCCGCTTGGGAAAACTGGAGCTTTCTCGACGCAGCCTACTTTTGTTTCATAGCTCTAGCGACTATAGGCTTCGGTGATCTTGTACCAACTAGTTTTCTAACCTCAAAGTCAACTGCAGAAAGTTCTAGAAGCGAATACATTCAAATGATTGCGTGTTGTGCGTATTTAGTTTTTGGGTTAATACTTATAGCAATGTCTTTTAGTCTCCTTCAGGATGAAGTGGTATCTCGATGTGCGCAGTTGGCTAATAGTTTAGGTTTGTCTCGTCAATGACAAGACGAGAAAAGTGATTGTACCGCATCAGACAATCACCTGAGGATGTTATGATCTTTATTGTAAAAGCACATATCTGGGCCGGGTCCTATAAATATGTTAAAATCGGACTCAATGTCTATGTTTTCAAAATCACTAGTCATAATATTACTATAATGAACAAAAATATTTTCGCATATCTAAATCAATTGATAAATAAACGTTTTTACGGAATTTGTACTCAAATTGAAGTGTTTGTGATGTAAATAATGTAAAAAACTATTTATAAAAGCAAGGCTGAAATTGTAATGAAACAATAAAATTGTGTTGAAATGAAAATGATGTTGTTTTTATTTTTCGGTACTTTAAACCCTAATTGTAAAGTGTAACGTTTATATAGTTGTCAATTTGTTTTTCAAATAAACACAAAGTCTTTAGATAATAAAAAATGGTATTGTTCCTAGTTCAATGGCAGCAAAGTGTAAACAGGCACTACAATTTTTACGAAATGCACTCTTTGATATAAATTACCTTCAAATGCTTTAGATATTTATTTTATTTATTTATTTTCAGGTCACAAAAGAACCATAAAACACATACCTTATAGACTAACATACATAATAATATGATAAAAACGATTTATTTACTTACACGTATGGACCGCGACGTGTGACGCAACGTGGGTGTACGATAGCCGTCCTCGGAAACGCCGGAACATGACACCCTTCGACCAAAATTTCTCCTTCATCAAGGTCGACAGATGTTGAGTTGGTACTCTCACCACAAATGAATTAAAATTCATCTTGTAGCAATCCAACTGCTCGATCCTCACGACAGGTTTGGCTTTCACCGTACTCCACAATATCCGCAGACTTTGTGGAGTAATGAAGTCGTGACACGTATAGCAACGTCGTCGGTACCGCTGGACGCAATAGATGGTTGGGGCCAGTCGGTGCCACTAAGGTTACGGCTAGTGTACTTCTTTTTCTTTTCCACATTTTTGACGCTGTCCTCGTCGCACTAGTCTACTCGTCTCGGTGGTACTGACGACACAGCTCCAGAGATGAGTTTCAGCTTTTTCTTCTCCTTATATAAAGTGCTTTACCATTTGAATTTTTTACTTCAAAATTACTATTATTTAGGATTTTTTAAACATATTTGAAGACAGCTGCGTACAAATTTATAAATAGTTAATACTACCTTATTTGTTGTATGTATGTGATTTTGCACATAACTCTTTGCTGTCGTCGCATTTGTTGCAATAGCAAGAATCACAATAACTTCACAATTCAATGGTAACACTTCTTAAAATAGCCAATATTTCAAATAGGACTAAAATGTTTTTAGTTTAAGACAACCTTTAAAATCAAGCACAAAATAATATACTAATACATTCAAACGCATATGAAACCAAATATTGTCGTAACTCAAAATTGTGGAATGGAGAAAACAGAATTTGAAAATTAAAAAAAAATAGTGAATCTATACATAATGCTAATAATGCGACTATTTTTATCTATACATGATATTTAATTATGCGTTTTTTCACAAAATATACATAAGTATTGGTTCCTTTCTGAATTTTTTTAAATTTTCAAATGGTGTTTTCTCAATTCCACAATTTAGTAAAGCACGAGGAATATTCATAAAAAAACCACTGTGAACTGGGTACTGCCATATTACATGGGTTAAATAGATAGCTACATTGCAATAGTGGAAAATCCTTTGTGGGATTACACCGGTCTGGGCCTGATTTGGATACTTATTACTTTGACCCTCACCATTCATTTAAAATAAGCGAGTATTTATTTAGTTATAATTATCCGCTCACGCGATACATGCAACCGTAGACGCATACCACACCTAGAGGTGCCGGTGATGATTTTATACCGATTTATCGGATATCGAAGTTATAACAGGTAAAAGAACTAATATTAATTGTTATTTCGGTAACTACTCTAGCAAAGCATAAAGTTTTTAATGCCTGGGTCTGTCATTTAAAAAAAATAAACAACTTCAAAAATAAGTCACGTCAATCGTGTGTGTCATTTTTTGGGCTGGTGATTTCGGTGTTTATTTATTGAAAACATACCGTAGGTAGCGTTTTTTAAGTTTACACTGAATATAAATGTTTATAAACTATACTTTAAGAAGTAATTTCATAGTAAACGTTAGAACCACTCAAACGGAATATTATCTCATATTTATCCAAGTACACCAAAAATTTCATTACTGCTTTTTAAGTGCAGGATTTGCGGTGTATTACTGCATTTTATTTGAGATGTTTTTGTTGGTAGTACGGAGGGTATTTATTTAGCAATGCAGAATAATAATTTTTATTTATAAAAATACTTAATTAAACGTATAACTAAAAACGTATTGAAACTTAATCCTTTTCTATTTTGCGAAACCAAATAGCCGCCATTTTGCGGTAGGAGGAGCGCATCGCGTGAGCGGTTAAATTTCTCGTGGAAAGATAAAATAAATTAAAATAACTTACGGAAACCTAAATGATTAACCATTAAAAGGAGCAAAGCATCATTAACTTTGCCCGCTAATATATAAGCTAACATTTTTTTTTAAAGAATGGTAAAGAAGAGGCAGTAAGCGGCGCCAGCTATCAAAATAATTATAATTAGTAATATTACGACCTTAAAATGAATGAAAATGGCCGCCAGGCATATTAAACTTGAACCAATGTTTCTACTTTGTTCGAGATCATAAAAAGTGATGCAAGTAAAACAGAATAATTCCCATTTTCTTATTTTTGCTGGTAAAGTTTAAAAAAGTTCATTCGTGCACTGTCCATTATCAATTCAGTATCAGTAACAACCTCTTGGACTATATTACTAACATCATAAACAACAACTTTTGCTACATGACTCTTTACAAAACATAATATATTTACGAAAAACAAACTAGGTATTCAGTTTTTGTTGTACTATCTGACACTTTTTAGACTTGTATTTTTATATTAGATCTGTCGTTCATACAAGTAATTTAGTGGTTTTGCTACCGCTTAGAGTTATCGGCATTTAAAGCGATCTGTTTAAATATTTTTATTTTTGTATAAAATTAAAATCTGATGAATTATTAAGAGTTATGGAACTAAAGTTGTTGCATATGATGATAGTAATATAGTCCAAGAGGTTGTTAGTATTTTACAAATAATCCTGTATATTCATTTCAAAACCATCAAATTATTAAATTTCTCAATCTTATACTGAATTAGAATACAGCAGAATTTTTGGACATCAAATTGCTGTGAATGTTAATTGTTTCTAGAGTAAGGATCGGCAAGTTAATGTTGTTACTGGAGCTGTGCAAAGGTCCCATTAAACGTGTGTGATACGTTTACCTGACGCCCGAATTAATAATGATTTCAGGACACAACGTATAAAGTGAAAATGCCCACACTCATAGAAATGTGTGGTATGTCGAGAACAACATACCACATTTTTTATGATACCAAATGACGTGACGAACAAGTCATACGCCTGGTGGTAACCGTCACGTCTGTCTATAACAGTTGCCACTCAGTGCTTTAATTCGCAAAGATCTGAGGAACACTGCGCCCGTTACTCTGAGGCATAAGTCCTATGTGCCTGTAATTTCACTAATACCCTTACCCTTAAAAATTGGAACCAAGGAATGCTCACATTACTTCTTGGCAGCAGAAACAGGTGGCAGTACTTCCTTGAACGAAAGCTTTTTCACAAAGAGCTCTACTGTTAATAACATTTTACGGTTCCACACTTATTTGCACTGCATTTTTTAAATAATATTAAGTGACGGAACGAACAAGTCGTGCTCCTGGTGGTAAGCTCACGCCTGTCCATAACAGTTGCAGTGCCACTCAGAGCTTTACATCGCAAAGATCTGAGGTGCACTGCCACTGCGCGCGTCACCCTGAGACATAAGTTGACAAGTTTCATTTGCCTGTAATTTCACCAGCATCGTTACCCTTCAAATTTGGAACACAGTAAAGCTGACATTACTGCTTGGCGGCAGAAATAGGTGAGTTGGCAGTACTTCCCTGGACGAACTCTTTCACAAGGAGCTCTACTGCTATATAAAGTTTTAATTAGTATAACCTGTGGAGATTGAAGAACGATAGCAACAAAATCAGATCCACTCTATCTGAAACTACTGCTACTGCACTTTTATGAGATTCAGAATAGTGTTTGTTGACTAATGTAATCTTACTGGAATATCTATAACTAGGCAAAGGAAATCAACTCGTTGCAAGTTGATACATAATAAGCCTATACAAGCAACACGGACTCACACAAAGGACAGGGAAATCAGGCAAAATGAACCCTTTGAATCCGTCATCCAGATCGTTACCAAAGTTCCAACTTGCTTATTCAAACTAGTTCCGAAATATCACGGTGGCCGCCCCACCTGTTTCTAGTACGGCTTTACGCCGTTGACGGAGCAAAGTTAATAAAACTTTTTGAATGCAACCTTTGGCGACACGAACTTTATCTTAGGAACGTTGGAGAAAAGCGGCTGAAGATTGGTGAGATTTATGCTTCGACAATGAGGGCACTTTATTTAAATGAAGATTGGGTTTAAACCAAAGTTTGAAAATTATGTTCCTAGAGATCGTATTCTGACTTTGAATGTAAATGAAATAGGTTAAATGATTCGTAAAAAGGTGTTGTTTATAATAATGAATTAATTAATGAAATATTATTTATTGCACATTAAAAATTATAATGGCAACACGGAATAGTAATGTAAGTATCACAGAGTATGCCAATGTATAGCAGGCGGTTTTATTGCTGAGTACCAATTTCTACTACCTTACAACTTAGGGTACAAATTTAAAAGTGCAATTAGAGAATCTCTTCATACATTACTCATTAATAAAATAAATAATGAATACAGACATCATAACAATGTACTGTATGTAATTCGTATTTTTCATTTATATCTGTTTTTTCTATAATATCAATTGATGAGACGAACAACTCGTGTACCTGGTGGTAAGCGACACACCTCTCCATAATAGTGAC